ATATCTGTGGTTTATGGAAAGGAACAGTTAATGCGTAAATTTTTTTGATCAGTTTTGCATGCTTGTATCTGGTAATCAGAACGACAGATTTGAAGGCAACAATATGCAATATAACAACCACTGCTGAATTCCTACCATCTTATATGGTGAAGCTCTGCACCATTTCCAATTTTTTTTATTACTTCTTATTGCCTTTGATTGTTTGATCAGTCTTACATTCTTACATCTGGTGGACTGAGGAACTTTGTTGAAGATAACAGTATGTAATGTAGAAACCATTGTTAATTCCTTTCATTTTGTTTTGAGGTCACATATCATTTTTGTTGTTTTTCTGTTATTTTGTTTTTGTCTCCTTCTTGTTGTTTTGTTGTTTTTTTCTCTTAGAAAACAAATATTATTAAAAAAAAACAAATATTAATGTACATGACAAATGAAATAAGCAAGCACTAATACAATTGTATTGTGGGAACTTAATACCCCACTGTCACAAATAGATAGATCAACCAGACAAAAATCAACAATAAAATTTTAGATCTGAACCAAACTTTTGAACAAATGGACTTATGAGGTTACTACAGTATTCAACCCCAAAACATCCGAATACATATTCTTCTTAGCTGCACATGGGCTGGTCTGCAAAATAGACCATATACTAGCTCATAGAACAAGTTTAATAAATGCAAAAGAATTTAAATTATCCCATATACATTTTCACACTATAATGCAACGAAATTAGAACTCAATGGCAAAAGAAACCACAAAAAATTCATAAAAGCAGGGAAATTAAACAAAACCCTCCTAAACAACCAATGGGTCACAGGTGAAATTAAAGAAGAAATTAGATAGGTTTTATAATTAAATGATAATGACAGTACAATATACCAGAACTTATGAGACACAATGGAAGCAATTTTACAAGGAAAATTTATAGTAGTGGATACTTATAACAGGTAGACAGAATGAGCCTAAGTAAACAAACTATATTGAACCTCAGGCTTCTAGAAAAGGAGAAGTAGGACAAGCTCAAAACCCAGATGAGGGAAGAAATCATAAAAATAGGAGCATAAATTAATGCAATGGCAACTAAGAAAATAATACAGAGAATCAATGACTCAAAGAGTTTATTCTTTGAAAGATTAAGTAAAATTGACAAGCCCTTAGCCAGCTCATCAAAAAAGGACAGAAAAGACTCAAATCCACAGAATTAGGAATGAAAAAGGTGAAATCACAACAGATCCTGCATAAATCTAGAAGATCCTCTATACCTACTTTGAGAACGTGTATTCTAATAAGATGAAAAACGGACAGATTCCTGTGAACATCTAATTCATCACATCTCCCTTTAAAAATTCGTGGGCAGGCTCCTGTTTGCCTCAAGTAGTTCTGTAGTTTTAGCCTACAGGAACATTGGAGGCTGGCTGCGCCTGAATAAGGCTTTCCCTTCAGAGGGAGCTGTGAGATGGGTCCAAAAATGAGTTAGGAATATAAATGAAACTTTATTATGGAACTTCAAGCAAGTGTCTCATGACATTGCTTTAAGGATGGAGCTGGGAACATTCCTAATTCTATTTGTCTCCTCTCATGGGTACAAGGCAGATGGTTTTCATGACTACTGTGGTTGTGCTGCTCTTTTTCAAGGCTAGTGGTGGAGGGCTGGAAAGTAGCTAAACGGTAGAGTCTATCTAGCGTGTGCAAGGACAAACACTCCACTGTTTCATGGAGGTATAAAATTTTATTGTAAATTTTTAATTGCCAGTTTAAAAAAGCTTGCTTTCATAATTTTGCCAGTATTTATGCTACTTTATGGAAGAGCAGTTTGACAGTACTGCTTCATTAATGCATGTATTTTGGTGCAACAAAATTGTAGGATATAATTTTTAATTTTATAGGCAAATACCCAGAGTCATATAATGATTAAGTGACTTCCCACAGGTTATACTAGTGGCAAGCATCAGGATAATGTTAGTACATAGTATTATGTTTATTTGATTGTGTGTCTCTTTTTTCAGTGAAGCTGAAAGCTTCTACAGCAGTGGTGGTAAGCCTATGGCACACATGCCACAGTGGGCTGTATGTATCATTGAAAGCTCTAAAATGCCACATCCAGCACAGCTGTCTGTTTCCAGGGAGAAGGATGGTGGGAGGATGGAGAAATAAGCATAAGAGTTGGAACGCAGACAGCTGAGGTCAGGTGGAGCTCTCTCTCCAGATGTGAGGAAATGAACTGCTCAACCACCACAGCATATTTATTTATATATTTGGCAGATTGATGTCATGTGACACCCCTCTGCCTAGCAACTTGCTTGCATGGCAGCCTAGCGGCCCCTTGCATTATTGGAGCTGGAGCAGCTTGTTCACGTGGCTCATCTCAGGGGCACATTGTTCTCAGGACCAGCCTTGCTTTAGTCCCACGCTTGTGATCAATTTCCAGCTTCAGCTCTTCCCCATGCTAAAATAAATATTCCCTTCACTGCTCTACAGGATTCAGTCAATTCCATATAAGTCCTTTTACCACCAGTATTTTGGGGACCTCATGGTCTAGATATCCAAAAATTCTTGCTTGAGTAACTGAATAACAATTATGGATGGGACAGTCAAAACTATCGATTTCCTTTTAATTTAGGAGTGAGAAATTGAAACTCAGGGATCTCAAAGCATCAATATCAGTGGGCTGATGGTGGGATAGCAGGCTGCCAGAAAAGTAGTGATATGCTGCAGCCCGGTGTGAGGTTTTAAAAAACTTGAAAGGTAAATTGTAATCAATGAATTGATTAAATAAAACAATACAAAGGTGCTTGCTAGAAGCAGAATGGTTTGAGTGGCTTTTGTCTCAGGGGAGAATCTGTGGGAGTTGTTGGTGGTGTGAATATGCTTTACTGTCTGCTGGTGTCTATATAGGAGAAGCACCATATAGACACTGGCCCCAGCCATGAGTCCCAGGAACACAACATCTGGGAAGGTCAATAGAAATGTATATTTTGAAGGTGTTTCAGAATTTTTAGAAGAGCATAGACTATATTTCCATACCTTGGTGGAATTGTAGGTATGTTTCAGGCCCGTAATATCTATAGGAATGAAGGTATTTATCAGCAAGTTGAAGATCCAACACAGAGCACAGGAGAAACTGATGTTCTTACGAGCTTGGTCTTTGAGCCCCATCCTCCTTCCAGATCTCGGGCTGATGGTGATGGCCTGGAAGTTGCTCAGGAGGCAAGTGGTGCAGAGACAAAGGCCCCGGGCCACTCTGTGGATATAGTACACAAGTCTGCATCCCGTGTTTCCCAGGATGGGTGTTATTCCCCAGATTAACATCGTATGGGGAATCCCCTTGAAGAGAAGAACCAAGAAGTTGGCCACAGCCATGTGGGTGAGAATCAGGTGCGTGGGCCTCGGTGCATGGGCAGTACAGGATGTGGGGGCATAGACTGAGAGAAGAAGGGTGTTCCCTGCCACCCCAACCCCAGTCTGGATTGGGAAAAGTAGCCCAAGGATAAAATCAACAGGATTCATTCTTATAGAATCAGAGTAAATTGTTCCTCACAGTTGTTCAGAGGCTGTGGAGTTAGAACTCAGTACAGATTTTTTTCAATATTCTCAGTTCCAATAGAAATTTTTGGTTCCTCATCAATATCCTTTTTTTTTATTTTAAAGAGAGTAGTAAATGAGAAACAAACAAACAAAAACATAGAACAGTAGCAGCATACCATAATCACAAACATCAACAAATCAAAGCAAGAACATTCAAAGTGATACAGGGTCTCAAGGCCAAATAATACGAATCAACAGTGGTGGTTACATTACATATCGCTATCCTCAACTACATTGTTCAGGTTACCAGATGTAAGAATGAAAGATTGCTCAAACCACTAAAGAGAATAAGGAAATAACTCTTCAATAAAACATTAGAGATAATACAGAGTTTCACTACACAAGATTCAACATCTTTGTTTGAGGATAGTGATTACATTTGTGGGGAAGGCAATCTTCACTAGTGAACTCAGAATTGTAATGTAGACAATCCAGGCTAGTTTGTTTACTTTTTTGCTCACATAGCCAAGCTTGATGGTTCATTATTCAGGCTGTCATCTCCCAAATCCCAGTTGCATGTCCAGGACGCAGTCTGCGGGGTAAAGCCTTATCTGCCATATCAAAAAGTTTTCTTTAGCAGCCGCTATACACTAGAACAGGTTGCCATTCTTCAGATTAATTTACGTGGGTCACTGTTCCAAAGGGTTCAGAGCATGGTCTGGGGGACACATAAATAGGATGAAAGTACAACGTAAAGCATGAAATGAATAAAGGTTACAAATGGTGTTATAATTCCATGCATCATGGATTATAGCACTTATTCTATGGTAATACATAGAAATTTTAATTATTTTATTAATTTCATAAATTGTCTATGCAAATCATTATATTAATATGTGTATATCATAAGAGCAAACTAATAAAAATATGGAGAGAAATATTATTCTGTGTACCCCTCATATATACTCTTGTTCTTCCTCAAATAATCCTGTCTCTCAGATGTGCATTCTTACAAAGTGTGCGTGTGTGCGTGTGTGTGTGTGTGTGTGTGTGTTTGAACAGTCAGGAATAAATTCAGGATTAAATTTGCTGCTTATGCTCAGAAATTGAAAATATATTCCTCATAATTTATGGGTCAAAAAAGTTGTACTAAAAAATGGCTTTAAGAAAATAATATATACTGCCAGCTGGCCATGGTAGAGTCTGAAATCTCAGCACTTTCAGAGGTTGAGGTAGGAGGATGACAAGTTTGACCCCAGCCTGGGCAATTTAGTGACTTAGGAGACTGTCTCCAAATTTTAAAATGAAGATCTAGGAACATAGATTAGTGCCAAGACCCTAGACTAAGAAGAAAGTGAGGGAAGAATGGAGGGAAGGAAAAGTGAAGAGAAAAGAATATACTAAACAATGCAAGGACAGTTCAATATTATAAAGCATATTAATAAAATTCACAATTTGCTATTAAGAAGAAAATTCATGTGAATTTCTTCAACAATTCTTTTTCATTTTTTATTTAAAACAGAAAGGAGCAAAAACTAAAACAACAACACAAAAACAATAGACACTATACAGAATTCCAAAAAAATGATAAGAAATTAACAGTGTTTGTTGTATTGTATATTGTCTTCAAACTAGTTGCTCAGATTACCAGATATAGGCATGCCCTAGTATAAGAACCTGAAAGTGTTAATAAAATCTGAAAAGTACAATAGATATTGTGAAAGGGAAAGAAACTGCTCAAATGGAAAGAACAACGGGGATGAGGGAAAGGAGAAAAGAAAGCAAGAAGTGGAAAAAATATATATATACATAAGATAGCTAAGACAATTGTATTACTAATTTCCAATGGTCTATTGAAAGGAACAGTTGATATTTAATTATTTGATCACCCTTGCATGCCTATATCTGGTAAGGTGCTCAACAATTCTTTCAAAAAGCCATTAACCTAATATCATCAATATGATTTTTTAAAAATAAAAAAAATTTAGAAACTTGGAGTGGTGGCATACGCCTGTGATCCCAGCACTTGGGAGGCTGAGGCAGGGGGATTGCCATGAGTTTTAGGCTAGCCTGGGATACACAGTGAGGTCAAGGCCAGCCTGGACTACAGAGCGAGACCCTGTCTCAAAAAAAACAAGAAAAATGTAGGGATGAATAGATTTACTTATCATGGAGATGTATATCTTCAACTCCAGTAATTAAATAAATAAAATAAATCAATACCCTTCACATATAAATAACATACAAATATTCATCAAGATACAGGAAGGCAGAGAAAGTCCTATTTACAAACCCAACAGAAAGCTACAATTTTAAATGTTGTATGTCTGTTAATGTTTCCCTCCTTTTATCCTTAAAATAAAAAATTAAAAAAAAAAAAAAAAAGAAAGCTACAATTTTTAGGAATGAACTTAAGAATATAGATAGGAAAATATAGTAAGAAAAAAAGTTGAACAGTCTAGTGGAATACCAGTGTAGATCTCCTTGGATGGAAGGTATTTGTTACTTTTACATATGATATCAGTTTTTCATAAATTAGTTAAAATTTTTAAAAGACCAAGCAAATATAACAATGTTTTTCTGAATCTATGTAGAAAAGGTGACCTAAAAATTAAATGGAAAATAATGTAATATTGGCGAGGAAGCATTTAAAATAAAAGCTATGAGACAGGAAGCTTTAAATATAATTGTTAAACTTGCACATAGAACAGTAGATAGATGGGAACAGGCAAATATCTAAACTTTTCCAATGAAAACATACATATAAGCATTAGGAGAGAACACATGTGAATTCCTCTAGGACTTAGCATAGAGAAAGTCTTTCTAACTACGACTACAGTGAAAAAGCAATAAAACGTTGACAAGGCTAACTACATAGGAGTGAAAAAAATTTTCATAGCCAAAAAACCTATAGACAAATTAATAGAAAAAACATATTTTCTTTTTTTTCATACTTGGAATTGAACTCATGACCCCATGCTTGCCAGCCAGGCACCGTGCTGCTGAGCTATACCCTCAGCTTCCCAAACACATTTTCTACTTCTAGTATAACTGCACAAAATCAATTGAACCAACTCTCTTGCAAGTAATAGCCATCAACTGGGCAACATATAATAACTGACCACCTGTCACACTTACTAGCATTCACTAATTAATGAACAAAAGCAGGTGGATCTCAGATGGGAGGTGACACTTGGAAGAAGTGTGTTTTGTATGATTTTAAAAATGACTTTCACTTTGAGAGCAGGATATGGCTGCAACCATTCAAAATGATTAAAGACAAAAATAGATCTTCATAGTCCTGTTGGTCAAAAGAAGGATAACAGCAGGATAACAGCAAAGGCTGCAAAGTTTGGGGGAAATTGCAAAAATAGAGAGCTACCCTGTGGTACCTCAAATCTTAGGCATAACTCTAAGTTTCTGGTTGATGCCTAAATAGGCATTGATGGGGCAGGTGCCAAGATTGTTCACTTACTTAACCCTAAAATAACTAACCTGAAATTTCTGAATATTCTGAGTAGAGTCAAATGAACTTTTTACTGAAAAGCAAGTATTCTATGCTCCTTCATGTTTCTGTTATGGAAAGGTAAGAGAATCAGTCTCTACAGTGTAGGAGGATACAATCCAAAATTCCTAACATATAAGTAAACAGGCAAGTGTAACTTATCCTCAGGTAAAAATAAATCAGTAGAACTAAACCCACAATAATAGCTCACATGTTGGAATTAGCAGACAATGATTTTAAAAGCAGATTTTTTTCTGTGACCAAAACAAGAATGAATAAAAAATATTACTGTGTTAGTTACTTTTCTCTTGTTGCTGAGAAAATACCTGACACCCAAAATCCAGGAAGGAGAGGTTTATTTAGCTCATTGTTGGCAGATGTTTCAGTCCATACTCAGCTGGCTCCAAGGCAGGGTGGCATGGCAGAGGGGCAACCTTTCATGGCAGGGGAAGACAACAAAAGCAGTAAGAGCACAAAAAGAGAGACTGAGCCTCTTTTCTTCCCTTATATTGTAAGCAAGTACCCTAGAGCAGATAGCTCTCACACCATATCCATGCCCTCCTCTTGCACAGGCTGAGGATATTTGCAAAGTATGGGTCCTGGCCCCCTGCTGAGTCAGTTATGCTTCTAAAGTTCTCAAGTTGACACAATGAATCAACCACTAAAACATCATAGGGTGTAAATAGCCACCATAGTTCATGTGCTCTACCCTCCAGGATGTAGAACTGCTGAGTCACTTAGTTAAGCTTCTAAACTTCTCAAGTTGACACAATGTATCAACTATTGCAATTACATATATAGGGAATCAAATGAAAGTTCTAGAACTGAATAAAACAATGTCCAAAATAAAAGTTTAACTGAATATGCTCCCCTAAAATCACTGCACTTTTAGACAGATCAAGAGAAAGTGTACCCTAAGGAGTGAAAGCATAGTTAGATTTCATGGTGCATGCCTCTAATCCCAGCTACTCAGGAAACTAAGTTAAGAGGATCCCAAGTTCAAAGCTAGGCTGTGCAACTCAGCAAGATCCCATCTCAAAATAAAAATGAAAAGGACTAGGGGTTTAGCTCAGTGCTCCCTGGACCCATTCTCCAGTACAGAAAAGAAAAAGTGAAAGAAGTAGATTCTTGTTGAAGGAAAACTAGTAGTCAAGGCTCTGTGGCAAAGAATAAGTTAAACTTACCTGAATTCAATTTGATTGCCACCGATACATTTGTAGTTTGTGATATATTTGCCTTTTCCTGATAATGTTTCTTCTCCAGTGCAAAATGAATCAAGACCCATCTGACTGCCTGCTAGATGAACCTGTTCTGCAGACCAACGATGTGAGCTCTATAAGGGCCAGTTATAACTGAAAACAATATTGCTGAGATCCTGCAAAAACAAGTGAACAGAACCTTCACACTGACCATAGTAAACATGTCTACCCTCCCTCCCTTCAATACTGAACGTTCTGTCAGCACCAGAGTCTCTAGAACATGAGAGGGCAAAACACACCTGTGTCACAGATCTGACGTGGGCTGGGTGTTTCCTTCTGAGCCAAGTCTTGGAACCCAAGGACCTGACACTTCAGATCCAATCCCCAACCCTGATCCAAGCCCACTCAGAAATGTTCACTGTAAGCTTTGCTTCATGATACCAGAACAATAATGGCTCAGGCTGAAAATTGAGAATCGACCGGTGCTGGTGTAAGCATTTAGTAATTCATTTAATCCCCAGACAACTCAAAAACCTACACTGATAATCATTCTCGTTTGTCAGATGACCACAATGAGACAGAAAGAGGGCAACTGTGTTGTCCATACCCATATAACTCTTGGTGGTATATGGGAGAGTTACATTTGCTAAAATAATTAGTAAGGGGCCTCTCTTAACCACTTTGTTTTGCTACTGAGGAAAAGTTTCTGCAATTCAAAGTGTGTGCTTGGCTGACTTGCTTCACAGCTCAGCTTCACGGTTTTCTCTTTAAAACAAAACAAACAAATAAACAAAAACCTGCCAGCAAAAACAATCATGAGGTTAAAACAAATTGAGTCAGCATTAGTCAGAAACAAAAGGGAAATGAAAACGGAATATGACTGAATCAGTTCAAACACTGATGAGGTAGGCATAGGCAGATTTGTTACTTGGAGCTCATGAACTTTGAGAAAGGTCTGGTCTGCTAAAGTGCTAGGACAAAACTCTGAATATCACAAGGGATTGACTTAAAGATAAGACAAGAGATGGTAGAATTGGAAGAGACCTAGTCTCATAAGAATGAAACACAAGAAGTGATACTGAGAGGTGAACACGATCAGGAAGGAAAAAAATGCCTAGAAAAAGAATGACATGAAGACAGAGCTATCAAATCCTGTGTGTTTCTAACCCATTTCCCAATAAATGGCTCAGAGCCCATTCCAAGGAAACACTAGTAGATGAAATGTATTAATGATTTTCTGTAAGTATAAGGCTCTCATATAATTTAATGCTGAATGTTCTGTACCAAAGAATATTCTGGTCCTATTTTACATAAATAGAAAATGAAGCAGAGATTTATTTTTAAAATTCTGGAAAATGCAAACTCTTCTACATGAACACAAAGCCATTCCCTGGTCCTGGTGAACAGCCGGGGTCAGGGTGGAAGAAAAGGCTCACCAAATACAAGGAAATGTGCTAGCGTGGTGGATGTGCTCACTATTGTGTTTATGACAATAGTTTCACCAGTGTATGCATACACATCAAAAATTCTTTAATTGTACATTTTAAACTTGTTTACTTATAAATTATCACTAGACCTCACTAATGGTACTAATGAGAGAGTAAAACAAAGAAAATGAGGTAGAGAGGTTTTCTTTAAAAAACCGTTTCAAAAGCACTCCATTCCAGTGAAGGAGAGTTAAGATCTGATCTAACTTGAAGGGTGTGCTGTCTCATTATACCCACACAATCTGGAACACATTAACTCATGGATTTCCTGGTCAGTGTGGGTATAGTCTAGATTCAGTATTCATCTGTCACCATCTCTAATATACATATAGGAGAGAAATTCATTCCATTTGACAGAACATCCAAAACAAGACAAGACAGAAGATGAAAATCATCAGAGTTACATGAAGATGAGCTACCTACACGGAGGTAGCTGTGCTCAAGTCTGTCTTGCTCCAAAGTATTGGTCTGCAATCAGACAAAAGAGGTGTCATGACTGTTCTTTGCTAGAGGCTAGGAATGTGAGAGTAATGTCACCAGTTTTACAGTAAGGATGACACTGTGCTCCTATTCCTGGCTAATAAGTGGGAGACCTACACGCATTGTCAGAGGCTCTCAGTTCCTCACTTTGTAGGAGCAGAGAGGAATTTGAAAATAACTTTTCCATGTTCCAAAACTGGAGTACTCAGTACTACTTCTAAGCTGTGCCTTCAGTAGTGAAGAAAACTACACAGTATTACAGCCCCGAGATAGCTCATATTCAGGTTCCAGGTTCCACCAACATTCTGAATAGGTGAGTATAGCAAAGAGCTACCCCAGCTATAGACTGAGCATTTACACTAAATTCTAGATGTCAGAACATCCTACTTCCCCAGGTATACTCCTGGATGTCTGGGCCATTGACAGTTCTCATCTTAAGGGAAAAAAAGCAAGTGAGAGCACAGCAATCCTGGGTGCAGGATTGGTACAGCCTAGCAACATGCACCCCTACAAAGTATCCATGACATTTCCTGCACACCACACATTTCTGTTGGTGCAGAAGTGCAAGATTCAGGGGAAGCTGTCCAGATGCCTAAGGAAAAAAGCCCATATCCTGTTCAGAGACTTACCTACCCTCTCTCTTCCTTTTACAGTATCTCAAAATTCACTGAAATCTGAGCAACCAGGAAACACTTGCCAGAGTTGATCTTTGTTACCAGAATGAGCAGCAAAACAGTGGCCACCAGTAAATATGAGTAATATGGGGCCAAAGCAGTTATAGGCCTTGAGACTCCCTGATTTCAACTCCCCACACACAGCTGCATTTACTCTGTCATGCGTAGGGCAATGATGTCTTCTGCAATGGGACTGTGGTGCAGCTGCGAAGAAGCTGTAATATTATTCCCAGGACAAGTCAATAGGCTTGGGGGTTATTCAGATGTGAAAAATTGACACAAAGTAGGAACTTCCTTGAGATTCTTGCAGTGAACTTTGTGTCTAAGGGGTTACAAAGGTAGAGAGAGATTCTCAGCACTGGGCTGGAATGGTCCCAGCAGGTTCTGCAGCTTTCCAAACTGCTTCGTTTCTACTTTTCCTCTCATCTCCCTTCTGATTCCCAGAGATCTTTCATCAAGTTGTTATTTTCTAGGTGTCAATTCCAGGTCCTATAGGGCTTTATTTTGTTGCCAGTCCTTCCTTTATTTTTAATCTCTCCTGAAACTTTTTTAACAAATGAGTTGTGATAATGTGCTTACCTTCTTCCCTGGACAAAATGATTATGTTAATGTTCAGACCCTGTCTTTTACCTTCTTTCCCCGTTACTCTATGCATGTATTCAGCTTTGTAATTTCTACATTGTCATTGCCTTAGCCCTTGTATTAGGCCCTATAACTAGAATTCCTACAGAAAATGCTTATTTCTATGGATAACTGGGTTTGGATGCTTATTTCAATGCTTTTGCCATTGTTTATATTTTATGTACAAAATTTATGTTTCATTAGTTTTTTCTTTTTTTTATTTTAAGACTTTTATTTCTGCAAAGCCAATCAAGAAGTGTTGGAGAAAAAAGTGTAAAAGTTATCCTTGCATATTTGGGAACACCAAGCATTTTAGTTTGAGAAAACAAGGGCTTAGAACAGTTGAATCAAAAGCAGTACCCAGCTACTTACATTTAAAGCAATGTGATATTCCTTCTGAAGCAACGTTCCTTCTTCCCTAATAACTAAAATATGATACAGAATGCAAGAGCTCACTTGAATATGCTAGAATCGTAGGGTCAAGAATGCCATAAGCCACCCCACTTAACATTTCCCACTATACAACGCTGTTTTGGCGCTTGAGAAATCAAGCATTCGTGTAGCATTACATTCAACAAAAATAGCTCTCATACTTTGGGTTTAAGATCCTTGTCCCTCCAGTTCTGAAGTTGTGACATCCGACTCTTCATCATCGTAAATATTTTCAGTCATTTGCCATATCTGCATGATGTTATCCTCAGACACTGAGCAGGTAACCCAAGGCTCATTGGGGTTCCAACTGAAGTCTGAAATCTTGGCAAAGTGTCCTCTGTGAATAAACAGTTCTGGAGGCCCATCTTCTGGGTCCTCAGCTGACTGTTCTCTAATTTTGCTCAAATCCCACACATTGAGGTGACGATTGGTACCACTTGAAGCCAGAATAGTTTCACGATGTGGAGACCAGTGGACCTGGAAAATCTCATCCTTATGAGATTTGAAGGTATAAAGTTTTAATTTTAAGTTATGCAGGTCCCACAAAGCTACCATCGTATCTGCAGAGCCTGTTGCTAGAATGAATTCGCTGTAGGGATTGAAGGGGAGGAAGTTGGCCTTGGTAGTATGTGCATCCACCACGTGGCTGGGCTTTGAGGTGGTGTTGGACCTGGTGTCCCATATTATGAATTTCTGATCATCAGAGACCGATCCAAACAAGGACTCATGCAGCAGATGGCAGGCCACATCCCCTACAACGGCTGAGTGGCCAGTAAAGATTGCTTTAGCATCAAGAGTTTTGCCTTCCTTTGGTCCTGCATTTATATCCCACAGACAGACAGTATGGTCATCGGATGCACTTAGGAGATGTCCACTCAAGTTAGAACTCCAGGAAAGATCATAGCCTTCCTTTTGGTGACCTCTCAACCTAAGATCAGGATTACATTCTCCACTTGGGTCTGGTTTAGCAGGATGTTTTGTGTAGTCAAAAACCAACGCATCAGAAGATGGTGTTTTCGTAGCAGTGATGTGAGGAGTTTGTGGCATGTAACGAGCACGATTCACTTCTTCGTGATTAATTTTAATTTCACATTCAGTTTTTCCTTTTACAGAACCAAAGTCACCAAATTCACCCTTGTCACTGTCACAGTGGGAAGCGTCGAACTGCACATCATCATTGGGAATATGGACTCGAGCAACCACCAGATGATTCTGCTCATCAGATGTGTGAGTCCCCAGCACCAGCCAATGAAGGGCATAATCTTTTCCTTCTGGTTTAGTCACTTCAGGAAGCCACTGAACAGATGGGTCATAACCGGGTCATACAGAAATGGTATTTCTTCTTCCAGATTTTATATTCTTCATTGATGACTCGCTCTTTTTTATTTAAAAAAAATAAAAGATGCAAAACATTAACAGACAGACATCCATTTACAAAATAGCATAAGAACAATACAAACAAAACAGAGTTACAGACAAAGTTGTAGGAAATTAACCATGCTTGTTGTATTACTTATTGATATCTTCAAAGTGGTTTTTCAGGAAAGGAAATAGAGACATACAAGATTGATCAAACAAGTAATCATTAACTGTTCCTTTCTGTAGAGCAATAGAAGACAGTAGTACAACTATGTTGCTCTTCCACAGTATCTTCAAACATCTCTTTACTCTCCATCTTGCGTCGTGTCGTTTGCCCCTCCTTGCGCCTCGAACTCCTCTCGCTAGCCAAGAGCAGCCTGAGCTGGGATTCCTGCCTTTCCTAGGCATGTCACACACCCCTGGCTCTGGAAGCCTGCAGTCGCTCTTGCTGCCTGGGTGCCTCCGGACACCAGCTGTAACTTGATTTTTTTTTTCCCCATTTCCTTACCCTCCCATCAACCTCTCTTTCCGTCCTTAATTACAAAAGCTTTGTTTCAATTCTTTCCTTTTGTTCCTCATTTTTTCTTCCTTCCCCCCTCACCCAAGCCTAGTTCCCTTTCCCATTTGAACATTTTCTTACTATTTCAGAATCTGTACTATATATTTTTGTCTTTATTAACATTTTTGGTCCCTCACACCAGAGAAACTTTTGGGCATTTACACATGTACATCCAATTTATTTCACTTAAGAAAATGGCCTTAAGGTGAATCCATTTAGTGAGAAATGTCTCAAGCTTATTCTTTATGGTAGAGTAGTAGCCCATTGTATGAAAACCACATTCTCCTTATCCATTCATCAGCTGATGGGCATTTGAGAAGTTTCCAAGATTTAGCTATTACAAATTGTATCCCTATAAACATGGATGGGCATATATTGCTGTAGTATGATGTTTTTAATTCTTTTGGAAAGACACCAAGAAGAGGAATAGCTAGATCAAATGGAACCTCTATTCTTAGTTTTTTAAGGAATCTCCATGATTATTTCCACAGTGGTTGCACCAATCTATATTCCCACCAACAGTGGAGAATTTTTCCTTTTTCCCCACAGCCACACCAGCATTTGTTATTGGTTGATTTCTTCGTGATATCTATTCTTTCTGTAATGAGATAGAATCTCAGTGTTGTTTTAATTCACATTTCTTAAATGACCAATGATGTTGAACATTTTTTTCATATATTTATTTGCTGTTTGTACTTCTTCATCAGAGAAGTGTCTATTTCAGATGGTCATTTCTGGATTATGTCTTTAAATATGGAGGGTCTGATTTTTTTTTAGTTCTTAATATATTCCAGATAGTAGTTCTTTATCTGAAGAACACTTGGCAAATTATTTTCTGACATTTTGGGTTGTTATTTTACTCTGTTGCTGGTTTCCTTTGCTATGCAAAAGCTTTTTAATAAGATGAGATTCAAGTTGTTGCTTCTTTGTGATAGTTCTTGTGTGATATGGTTTCTTTTCATAAAGAATTTATCTACATCAATATCTTCAAGAGTTCTACCTATTTGTCTCTCCACCATTGCAGAAGTGATGCTGAGCCCCACTGAACCTTTGGAATTTTGATTAGCTGTTTGAGAGGGGAGAAAATCCTCACCCCACACCCTCACCATCATGGAGGGTCGCTGAGCCCCAGTCAACTTCAGGAGGGGAAAACTCCACCCTAATCTCCTGCCATCGCTGGAGCAAGGGTGAGCTTTGGGAGCCTCAGTCTAGAGGAACCCTGGTGCCTGGCCCATACCCCTACACTGCAGGTTGGACAGTCAGTGCAGGAAGCACCTGGGACAGTACAGCCATTTTATCCAGAGAAACCCAGTGTAAATCCTAACAAGGGGAAACCCTTAGTATACAAACTCATAATTTATGATCAGTTCTGTTATGTAACTATAGACATTGCTTCTATGGTGTAAAGTACAAAATCAATACTTACTACAGTTGCTTAGTTTCAAAATTGTTCTTATTGCTAACTGTACTATTGTGGCTAGGATATAACTACAATAGTACATATCTGCTGTAATCAGTTGTTCTCCCTTGTGTAACAATATTAGGAAGCTCTGGGGTAATAACTTCACCACAACCCTACTGAACCAAACAGAAACTGACTGTGGACTGAACCAAAAAGAAACCAACATCCCACTCTCAATTAATTAGGAAGGTGGGATCTTGGGACAGAGACAAAGCAAGAATCTTTTACAGAGAAGATATCCCCAAAACACAGACTATTCATGAAGAGGCCTTGATACTGATAGCGCAAAGAGATTCCATTTTCTTTTTTAACTCCATATTAAGACAAGACACTTAAGTTCACTTAAGCTGTAGTTGACCCCATTCTTCATCCCCTCCCCTGGGTGAGTTATCAACCCACTTAAAGGAGAGAAGAGTCATAAAATGGGAAGAGAAAAAACAGGACAAATTGGTAAGTAGGCTAAAAATTAAACTGCAATGGTCATCTAGAATCTGGCTGTCTAACAGCTTCTGAGAGAATAAACTTTGTGATAATTGTGTGACATTCTTGTAAGATTACCAAAAATGAAGTAATGGTTACTATGGAAACATAAAATGTACTTAAACTGAAGGTAAAACCCAAATTGATGTGGACATTTTCTATGGCTCCTGGTTAGAGGCTGTCTGTCAGCCAGCTCAATAAAGCTTTGCTCATTTCTACTCTTTTGATCTCTTAT